TTCTTTGAATCTTTTCTTTTCTTTTTCTTTATTCTGTTTCTATTTTCTTGTATTTTATAAAAATACACTGTTCACTGTGAGTCTAAATTGGCACATTTCTCATTTTGCTCTCCCAAGACAGTAACAGTATAGAATTTTTATTTATTAAACATTGATATATAATGTTTTGAAGAATGATATTAAAGTTATTAATTTATATTTTTTTTTTTAACTTTTTTAACAAACTTGTTTCATTATTTAGTTATTAAGTTTTAATAAAGTATTATTATTGATTTTTTTTCCTTTGTATATATATTTCTTATATTGTAAGATTTTTTACAAAAAGCTTAAAGCAAAATAAGATATAATTGCTATTAGTTATGTTTGTTGCTTTTTTATTAAAAAAATAAGTAAATGTTATTTAAGATGATATCTGATAAAGTTTATATGTAATCTATTTTACTATAAGAGATTTTCTAATTCAATTGATAATAAAAGCTTTTTTTTCTCAAATTTTATAAATATCCAATCATTAAGAAAGTTAAGATTTTTTGTTTATAATCTCCAACTATTTGAAAATTTGCTATTGTATAGCTTATCAATAATTGGATTGCTAATGACATTAAAATCTTTTATTAAAATTATTTTACTTTTGCTTTTGATTTTTAATAAAATAAGTTAATATATTATCTATTAATATTTGCAACTTTTTTTTTGTTACTAAATAAATATATTTGAGTAACTATGTATTAACTTTTTTTTTTTATTTAATTATGAATTATATTTCATGTTTTTTTTTTCTTAGCAAAAAAAAACAAATGTATATCTATTTGTATAAAAGAAAAAAGTTAATATTTATTTATTTATTTTTATTTTTTTTTTTAATTGCTAAAAGATATTAAATATGGAACTTTATTAAACTTTCATTTACTGTTATTATAAAAGAGTTAATATATTTTGTATATCCTTTTTTGATTTTAAAAAGAAATAGTAATATGTTTCTTCTTAATAAAGGTTTTCTTGAGTATTTTTTTTGAGTGTTTTTTTGGATGTTTTGTGTTTTACCAAAAAAGAAAATTTGTATAAAATCTTTAGATTTTCAGTTTCATTCTAATATATCTTATTATTTTTATACAATAGCTTTTAAATAATAAATAATTAAATAATTTCAAAAATTCACTCTTCAATATTAAGTGAAAATTTTTTTAAAAATTTTTTATAAATTTTTATATTGTAATTAGAAAAAAGTTATCTAGAATTTTATTAACTTCAAAAAAAAACTCTTTCCTACTCCCCTTTCTGTACTTAAAAATTTTCTTTTTAGGAAACTTTTTGAGTTGTTTATTTTTTTTTGTCTCTTCCCTTCCCCTTTCCTTTTCTTGATTACAAACCTTTTATTCTCTTCTCCTTTGCCCCTCCCTCTCTTTTATCTCTTCTTCTTTATATCCTTCCCCTTCCTCTTTTCCTTTCTTTCCTGCCGAAGTTAGGTTTTTCCTTCTTTCTGAAGTTTTTCCTCTCTAGGCCTCTCTCTCTTTCCAAGAATATTGTGTCCCATTTCATCACTCCTCTGGCCAGTCGACTCCATTTTCTCAAGGAAAAAATAAGAAGTGGCAACCTTCTTCAAAAAGTAGGCTTTGACAAGTTTTTCTCTTTCATGTTTTTTCTCAGAAAAAGGATGGACGGTTTATCCCTCCAAAAGATCGGCATAACCATCATTACCAAATCCAGCGTTGTTTACTTGTTGATGACTAGACTAGATATGTCTAAGAAACCGATGCACACTATTATTGGCTGAATCTCTAGATGCTGTGCCTTATAGGAATCTAGTAGGACAATATGTGAAGACCAGGGATTCTAGTTACCCTCGTAAACAGAGCTGGTGATGTCAATTGTTTACTCCTCAACAATGTAGGTCTCATGTGCAAGGTTAGGTAACAGCGTCTATAAGAAAATCACATTCAACTCTATCCACTAAATATTTCCACCACACTTGAAAAGTGAATATGTCAAATCCTTTCTGTGACTTGGAGGCCAACCTGCATAAAGTGGTTGCAGCACCTTCATGCATTAAGGTAATCAATTATAAATCAAATCCAGCAGTAATGTTACCACCGACTCCTCTTGCCGTACATCAAGCCATATTTGGAAAGCAAGGGTGCTAATTCTACTCATGACTTGGAGACCAACCTGTGAAACTATGGCTGCAGCACCTTCATATGTTTAGGTATCAATCTATCTCTAGGAAACTAGACACCACTCAAGACATTATATATAGGTTTTGAATTTCATTTTACTATATGTCTTGGAGGTGCCCAGAGCAGAAATAGAGGGCCACTGAGCCTGGCGTTTAACTCTACTAAGTTTAGAGAGATGTATATCTTTTTTTGTATATTGTAATTATTATAAAATTATAATAAAAAAACTAAAAGAATCGTTATCCTGCTTTTTAAAAGTTAAAAAAAAAATTTTTATTAACTTCAGAAAGATTATTTTTATAATCAGGTAATTCTGCACCCTTTAAACGCGACATAGCAAACATGTGAATGGCTTTCCATATATAGAATACACCCTTTTCTTTTTTACGTTTTCTGCCTATCCATTTAAGAACGCTTAAATATTTATCTTAGTCTTTTTATGTTCATACCCATTCCTCTAGAAGATACCTTTTATTTTCGTACAAAGTCAGTCCATGTAAACAAACTGTTGTCAAATTCCTCACTTTTTTGAATCAATTCAAGAAACCACGTGAAAATAAGAAAATGCTGTACTTGCGTGATTTGTGTCGCGATTTTGATTTGTTATAAAATTAAGGTTACCTCAAAAATAACTGGTTGCTTTGTTATTACATATCCTGATATACGCGGAACACAAGTGATTTTTGAAATTCGTTTTTTTCTGCCATTCTGGGACATTGTGTTTTACATCTATATTTTTAATTGTTTAGGTTATTCGGAGAAGCAAATACGAATTTCATTTGTGATGAAACATTATTTAAACAAAAAGAATTCCGTATGCACATCGGACTACGTATTCCTTTCAAATGTTATAACGTGACAGATAAATGGCGTCTTTTTCGAATTGTACAATATTTGGGACATTTATAGTAAATGCTTTATATGTCACATTATGATACATGAGGGAAGCCTTGTGTAAATGAATTACGCCATAGTTTTTTTTCTTTTTTAAGTACACTAACAAACAGTTAAATTAAAAACAAAATTTTCTATTCTCCCACATTTTCGAAGGAATCATTTATATTGTATCGACGTTAACGAAATGTCTGAATTAATACAAGAAGAAATTAATCGTGGTCATATCTATCCTATTGAATATAATTCCTTTTCTAATTTTAAAGAAATATCAACGGGACAACATGATAAGGTATTTTGCGCTTACTGTGAGGATCTTAGAAGAGCGGTGACACTAAAGACCATGTACATAGACCTTTCGTTGGGACCCGATGGCCTCGAAAGAGAGGTAAAATCAATATTTTTTTACTTCATTGTCTTATCCGTCGTTTCTAAACTCATTAATATATTTTTTTTAACAGATTCAATTTATGAAGTCTGTCAAATCTCATGAAAACTTTATTCAATGTTTCGGTATTAGCCA